GGCCATAAATTGGCATAGCACCATTGATTCTTTCTTCCTTCTCCATCCCCAAAGTATTGCTATCCACATGCAGCAGTGCTGCTCCGCTTTATGAAAGCAGCGTGCTATTCAAAAGCTCTCAGAGGAGCCACATTTCAGTGGAAGAGGAAGGCTACATGCTATGTGTACATAATTTGGAGAGTGAATCAGAACATTAACTTTGCTACATAATTATGGATAATTTTTAAGCTTCTGTTCAGTTTTCATTCTTTATCAGAAGAGAATGAAGTCAATATTGAGTAGGTTTTTGGTTCTGCTCTGGTTCCGTATTTAGGCCAATGAAGTGCTTAATGCAGCTATTGGGCATGGAAACAGCTTGAGAGCTGTCGGTGCCTCAGGCTGCCAGCTGCTTGGCTAATTGGGCTGAGAACAGAGTGGGAACAGAGCTGAGACACCAGGTCAGATGCCTTCAGTATTGCTTCCTACCTGAAGAAAGTTGCTTACTGGTTTAAAGTGGTATCCAGTGTCAGAGATACAGCAGTGATGTTTGCTCTGGGGCGATGCCAGCATCACTGGCACTGACATGTGGAAGGAAGTTTAATCTACATCTTTTTATTTCATTGGCAGATGCTCTGTCCCTGGAGACATTTAAGATGAGGGTGGATAAGGCCTTGGGCAACCTGATCGAGTTATGGTGTGCCTGTTCATTGCTGGCAAGTTGGACTAGATGGTCTTCAGATGTCCCTTCTAACTCTAAGGATTCTATGATACTATGAAGATTGCTGAGCTAAAGTTTCTTTCAAGACTGAGCCTTTCCTCTTATGACTGGGGGCTTTTCCACTAGGATGTGTGGCAGGCACGTGAGAGATACTGAAGAGAAATTATATCTATGGACACATGCAAAATGAAAGTAGACATAGAGGACAAAACATAATTTGTGGAAGTAGGGTGTATGCTCTGAATTGTTCCTCCAGATACTTAATTAACTTCAGTTTGACAGTTATCAAGGCTCAAAATTTGTTCTTTATCAAATGCAGTAAGGGCTAAGATCCAGGGAGGAAAATGAGTTTCTGGTTTTTGCAGATTTTCTTGTTGAAAAGTCAAGGAGGTTCTGGCGCTTTAGTGAGAAATGACTAGTTTAAAATATTTAGTTTTGCTAACCTTTAGTTTGTTAGGATCTGTGCTGCTCTATTTTATTCGTGAAGATTTCATTTTGTATGCAGTTAACACTTGGAATTGCAGTAAATGGTAATAGGCTGTTTTTAAGACATTAATCTGTTTGAATGTGCAAGGAATTTAGGCAAATAACAGCTTCTGATACAGTAATTTGTTTCTGTAGTTATTTAAAACTGTTTAGCTTCATTTTCAGATAATTTTATTAGAATGTAGAGACTTACTGCATTTTCACAGGTGGTTTTCTTAGCTGAGACCCGAAGAGAGCAGGTCTAAGCAATCAAACTTTGTCTATCCATTTCTCTCTGTATTATTTTTGAACCAATAACTTTGAAACCTGTTGACAAGCTGCATTGACTTGAAACTGACTTGAAAGGGCAGAAATCTTGGAAGATAAATCACTTTAGATTTTACCATAATTAGTGGTGGTGTACAGATTGAATGCTGCATCAGTTCTTCTGATGAAGAAGGTGTAACTTAGAACTGTATGTTATTTTCTGGTACCATCGGATTGGCAAACCAGCTTACAGTTGGCTGTGGTATGTTGTGTTTTCTGTTACAAGATGATGTTTCAAGATACACAAGTCATGAGAAGATGTTGTCAGTTACAGAAATGGGATAAGAGAATGTTGAAGGAGATGTAAACTAATGGATGAGAAGACAAGCTTGTTCTATATCAAAGTTGTTGCCACCAACTGAAGACTTTCTGCAAATAATTCACTGTCTGGTGAACTACCAGCATAGCAGCCCTTTATTACACTGATCATGTGTGCTGCTGCCTGTGTGCAAACTATCTATGAAATGGATGAAAGCTTGCATGTAGGACAACTGCAGATGATGGAACAGAGCTTTTCAACACGCTACAGAAATGATATTATTTCAGTGACCCTAAAGAGGCAGTAATAAAATAGCTCATCAAGATGAAACAGAATGTTTTGTGCTTTGAAATTATCATGCATTTTATTACTATGAAAATCTGTGTCTTGGATTCAAAGTATCACTTGGTGAAATGCCATTTATCTTTTTTAATAAATGTAGAAAACTAGTGTAAAACTTAGGGATGACGGTCTTAACCCAGTTCAAGCATTTCACTCTTCATAACTTTGCCTGGCTGTTTTTCGTACAAAGTCAGTTTTAAATAGAACACAGTGAAAGCAATGAGACCGGAGTATGTCATTTTGCCCACTGGTTTTCTGATAGAAAATAAATGACCTAACCTGATTTTTTTATAATTGATATTGGTGGAACCAATCTAACCCTATATAGACAAACTCTCAAAATCAAAGTTGAATTTGCATGTTTGTAATATAAGGAGATTTCTGGTAAACAAAATATATTTAATAAATACGTAGGATCTTCTTCCTCCCTATCTTTTATAAGTTGTTAAAGCATACATCGTGTTTTCTACCATACTTCTAAAACACTTAAGTAATGTTCATTTTCCAACCATTTCAGGGTGATAGAAGAGCAAATAAGGAGTTAATGGACATTTGGTTAACTGCTTTAATTTCTCTAACTCCTGATTAATATAGTTATCTCAAAGACTGTTCTGAGCTGTGTGTTAACATTTCTAGATCTCTTCCCACACCCTTGTTTACTGATGTAGATGAAATTTGTGCAATTTTAACAAGTAAACCATGTTAATGTTTAGAATGTAGAAAAAAAAAGCTTCCTGACTTCATAGGAAAAACTGCCATCACTTTTCATGACTGGAAAAAACCCCACCTGTTTTTACAAAATTTGCAGCTTTCTTCCTTCCATTAGTAATAATAGACTACAGTGAGATGGACTCTTGGGATGGACTGCCAGATGTTTTCTGGGGTCTCATCTGCTTCTCACTGCCTCTAGCCTCCATTGCCCCTTTGGCAGTTTATATCCTGTGTTTCATCTCCACCACTGGTTTTATCAAACAGACAATTTCTGTTCTTCACCATAAAAATTAGTTTTCTTGCTAGTTGGATGTTCAAAGCAGTTCACTTATCACACTAATTCTTGAGTTGCGATTTCAAATATTTCAATAGAGCAATACTTACCATCATGTCAATTTCTTGCATCTTTTGGCTTTCAATGTATTGTATTGTATTGTATATGTATGTAAAATATGTAAAATGTATTGTATATAAAACTGCAAGTTCTCAGCACCCTGGAGCCTTATTGGCACTGCAGTTCTGTGCAGTTATCTAGCTGAGATTCTCTGGAATAGAAAACAGAAATGAAATGTTTCATTTCCACCTTTCTAGGTGGCAGATACATCCACACAGCCCTTGGGCATCCATGCAACACAGTATGCCTCCCTTCCAAACCTCTAACAGTGGCATGGAGAGGAGCTGCTGTTTCTTGTGGTAGCCATCTCCAGCGAGATGAAAGCCTGGTCTGTTGCCTCATCTTTCCAAAACTGGAGGTTTGCCAGCAGTGATGGGAGAGGTAACAAATGAGAAAGGAAGGAGTAAAAACTGTGACTAGTGTAGTGGGGAGCAACAGATGTCGCATAGAAAATTGAGAGATGCTCAATAAGCATTTTCTACAAACATTTTCATGCCGATGTGACTTAGTTATGGGGTGTGAGAGACAAGCATATGAAGAGGTTTAAGCTTTGAAGCATTTCAGACAGATGGAAGTTTGTGGTTGAAGACAACTTATGTGGAATTATAGGGTAGTGGTGTTCACAGCTTAAAGATTCTGTTTTAAAGTGATTTCATGTTGTAATTAAAGAGTCATGGTGAAAGAAAACACAAGGAGCTGAGTTATGGAAAGCAAGGGAAGTAAAGTCTGGTAGCTGCTGCTGCAAAGTATGTCATCCAGAAGAGCTGCACCATGGATAAGAATATAATGCAGGGGATTACATGTTACTTTTGTGATACGGACCTCAGACTGCACTGCTGGCCTACACAGATTTTCTTGAATGCATTATTAAAAGCAATATTACAATAAGTGAATCAGAGAAGTTGCTTTGATATCTGTATTACAAAGCATATTACAGTGTATGCTTATCTAGGACAGAACAAAGCTGTGTCTGAATCAGCACAAAGTATTTAATATTCAGCAGCAGGAAAAAAAAGATCTAATAGCCTTTTTTTTTTTTTTTTAATAAAAATAGATTTTTGCACTTGAAGCAGAGTTCAGTTACTCAGTGTCATCCTTTATATAAAAGGTTAATTTGTAATGCACTCACCTTGCCATAGCTTGCTTTTTCCATGTTTCTTTCTTGTCCACTATTTGGTGTATTTCAGTACTGACATCACTTTTCTCTTTGATGTTAACTGTTTCATAAGCATCTGTGAACTTGACATCAGTAAAGGCAGGGGAAATTTGGAAAACAGTTTATTGTAAGCTTTGCACTTGGGCCTCATGTTAATTAGACTATCAAAAAACCTGGTTTCATCTGAATTCCAGCTCCTCTCTACAGTTAATTGACTAAATCTGTAATGCTAGTATTCTACTCGTTTTGTAAAATTCATCCAGGTTGCTTGAGTTATTCCTTGTGTTGTAGTTTTTAAATAGTGGATAGAAATTATTTGAGATACTTTGGGGATGGAACCATTTTGGTAGCACATATCAGACGTTTTTCCTTAAAGGTGTTGGCTTTCGGAAGCTTTTAAATGAGTCACAGAATATGGGATGCATTCCCTAGGCATATTGTTTTCCAGTCTGTCAGACTATCTCACCTTTCATCTTTTGTGTGTTTTATAGATTTCTCACATCAAATGCGTCAGAAATACATATGACAGCACACGTTTGCTTTATTGCTGGGGCAGTGTTACTTTGCACAGTGTTGTTTGCCTTCTAAAGTTTGAACTTCAGAACTGTCAGTCTTTATATTGAAATTTTGCATTTGTCATCCTTAACAGAAAGGGCTATTGCAAGACATGAAGTCAGAGAGATAGAACAACGTCATACAGCAGATGGCCCCCGACAGGATGTGACACTGGATGAAGAAGATGATGTGGTGATTATTTACAATAGAGTACCTAAGACTGCCAGCACATCCTTCACAAATATTGCCTATGATCTTTGTGCAAAGAACAGATACCATGTTCTACATATCAATACAACCAAAAATAACCCTGTCATGTCTCTGCAAGATCAGGTAAGCAGCCGCATTTGGGATGGTTCTATTAAGCAGGTGGAACGCATGGAAAACATTTTTAGCTATTGTAATCATACAAGATCTGATGGAATCAACTTTGATATCACGTTTTCCAATATAAATGGAGCTTGACATGTTTATTTTTATTTTTTGTAGAGAAGAATTAAATAACAGGTTTAGTATTTGCTGTGCTACTGCAGGTGGTAAGTACCTGTTTATAGGAGAAAAGCTAAGCTAAAAACAGGCATAGCTATGGAAATCTTGACCTTTGTTTTTATAGCTGTGTGTACTGCATTACTGCATTGTCTGCCTTTTGGCTCTTTAATAATATTTGCCTGTCATCTCCATCTGCAATGCATGCAGTCTTAAGTGCTCTCTTCTGCATAGTGTGGGTGCTGTGCTGTCAGGGCTGCACTGCTTCTTTGATCAGGTCTGGTCAGGTCTTGCAGGTGACAAAAGGCAGGTGGAAGATGTGGCTGTGAAGAGACACTGTAAATGGGTCACTTCATACTTGCTTTGAGCTCTAAACTAAACTTGTGGCAATCTCAGGTTGAAATTGATCATGGCTTCTGCTGAATCGTATGATGAGTATTTAAAAAAGATGATGGTGGAGGGGATGAATGCTGCATTTTTCTTATACATAGGGTGGGGATTTAGGCTTTTCGTTTTTAAGTTTTAAAATATTTCTTTGCTCATCCTGACTGCACATGCAGGGAAACTAAGTCAAAGGTCTGAAACATCACTGTCCTTGTCCCTGACCATTAAGCAAATGTTGCCAAACTCTCAATATGTGCTGACCATCGTGTGCCCATTGCTTTAAGTTGATATGCAGCAGCAGCAGGAGCTGTTCTGCATTGCAGCATGTCAGCACTGAGGCTTCCAGCTCCTTTAAGTGCCTGCCTACAGGCAGGAGTACTTGGAACAGCTGCTGTAGTCTGGAGGAGGGGGAAACAGATGGCAATGGGCCCTCCACTCTCTGTTCTATATGGGAGAGAAAGAGTGAAGTCGGGATATGAGCATGGGGCCACAGGCTGCAGTTGAGGTAGGAATGGGCACCTGTTTGGTGGTGGTGGGATTGTATCACTGTTGGGTTCTTGCTGTTGTGAATTTTTTTTCCTGAAGTATGCAGGTGATATTGTGATTAAATCAGGCAGTCATCATGCCCACTGTGTGGAGCAAGTGCTTAAGACCTGTGCCCCAAGAGCAGAGTTAACATACCATGTTCATCAGTACCACCTGGTTGAGTCATTAGGTGCATCACCAGTAGTGATGTGGACACAGCATAGAGGCAGAATCATTTTTACTGGTGATACTGTTAGTTAAAACAACTATCTCCCAGAGCAAGATGAAGACTATTTTAGGCTGACGTAAATAAATTAGTAAAATAGTAAACCTTCTGGTATATGCTATTTCTGCACTGCTTCTTCCAAACTATTCTAGTTCTGTTACAGATTTTAAGTTCTCTGCCCATATGTGGAACCTTTACTTCTTGAATGCAATCTGGGAAAGATGACTACTTAAAATTCACTCCAAATATAAACTGTATCTGTTTTGTGGTAATCTCACAAAAGTCCCTAACACATCCATTTTGGTTTCAGTTTGGAACTTTTCTCAACAGTGCTCCTTTCTTGCAGCTTGTCTGAAAGCAGGATTCTGGGATCTGCCCCTCTTTTCATAGGTTGGGCTTTTCCTTTCCAGCAAGCTCAGCACCATATTTGCATTTCTGACCTGTGTTCAGTAAAGTGAAGTAATTTGATTTTTTGCTTGTATGTTTCAGTACTGATACCTTTTTTCCATATAAGTGTGCCTTTGTTATGGCTAACTGGATGTCATACCAGTCGCACAAAGTTCTGCTTCTTTGTTATATGGTAAAATTGTCGTCTAATAGATTTAAAACTAAATTACTTTTCTATCTTGCAGCATGTATTCTTGATATATCATCAGAAGAAGGGAGCATGGGGACACATTTTTTTGGTGCTGTTGTTGTGAACGTACAAAAAACATGGTGGAATTGTCCCACTTTTCGTTACTTTAATGTGCTACTTGTAGTTCTTCAGTATTTTATCTCATGCAGTTTCTCTCCATTTTTCTCAATAGAGCAAGCTGGAAACATGCAGTCTTACTTCCTGACGTGTTCTAAAGTGGTGGCCTCTCAGAAGATAGCACATTTGTACTGACTTTAGTAATACGTATTTCCTTTGCTGGTACAGGTTTCAATGACTGTCAGAAGTGGAACAGAAAGGCAGTCTGTTAGAAGTGGAAATACTGTGCTGTGAAATATCGGGTGCTGAGCATTTAAGAATGGGCTGGTGCACACCAGTGACCACTGCTGCACACTGCCAGGTGTATTTTTCCTTCTTAGGAAGAGCTGTTTGTGTCAGACAGGTATTCCAGCTTTTTACCATGGCTGGGCTGGTCATTTCCCATCTTTTCAGCATCTCATAGAATTGCTTCTCAGCTGCCCTTGCTTTGATCTTGTCATTTTTCATGGCATTCAGCCAAAGCTGTGCTGCTGGCGTCTCTTCAGTGTTCCTGACCCTCTACTTCAGAGGTAACTGCGAGTTGTTAGCTTGGAGAGCTAAGATACCAGTGCCTTCCCAGAAGGATTCCAACTCAGGAATCCCACTGTGCCTGGTCTTGAAATCTAAATCAGGTTTCTTGTGCTGAAGACACTGCTTGCAGTCTTTCTTGAAAACTTTTTCTACTCAAAATTCTGTGGGGGGGAAGTTCTCACACGTCCTTAGCAGTCTGGTGATGTTTATCATCCCAACTGTTTGTATATTAAGTCAGTTATTTTGCTATTGACAAGTCTGTAATAAGATGGAGTGAAAAGCTGGGGAATTTTCAGTATCCAAAGATCCACTTGGTACCAGGCCATAGGTAAGGTGTTCAGGATGGGTGCGTGTGTCAGCCCGTAGATATGATTAACTGATGGAAACTGGTGGACAGGGTGATGGTTCACAACACTACTTCGGAATACATGCACAGATTTTGCTTGGCTTTTTGCTCAGACCAAGTATGCTGTTTTTTTTGTGTTTTTTTTTTTTTTCTTCTTTCTCACTGGGACTTGCTTTAAATTCTTATCGTCCTAGAAACTGAATGCATTTAACTTACCTTTCAGGACATCTTACGCCCCCAGAGTACTTTTGATCTGGCTTTTTAATTCAGTGAAGCTCAGACGATTTCTCACTTACGGAAAGCTGTGAAGCAACTTTGTAGCTGATTATATAAAAGCCCCATGAAGCAGCTTCACAGGAATTCCATTCTCATCTATCTGAACTTTAAAGTAACCTCCAGTTCTATTCACTTGGGTTGAGTCTCTTGAAAGCTGCAGTATCTGCTGAGCCCTGAAAAGAAAAATAAAATTTATCATATTTAACAGCAAGAGTCAGCAAGCTGTATTTATCTCTGCCCTAAAAATGTGTGAATCTAGACTCGTTAGAATCATCATAGACTTGTTAGGCTGTGGCCTGGAACAGTTCTGACTTCTGGAAGGCTGCAAACTATGGGAAAGAAGGGAAAAAGCATCTCTTGCCTGCAGGCCAGGTATAGGTGTTGAAAACTTGCATTCTCAGGGGCGCACTGTGTGTTGCTTGTCTGTTTCTTAAGGCAGATGTAAATGTCACATAAAACCTTCCTAGCCTTACTGTTAGCTGTGCTGGCATTAGTGCTAAAGCTAATAAAAGGCTAGAACATCCGCTCAGGTCTCTTGTTGCACTACAGAAATTGTAATTTCTTCTGCAATAACCCTGCTCTGTGATCATAAAAAAATATTTCCTTAGCAAAGACATTCAAAGGCAAATATGTTTTGTTTTTTAAAGAAGGATTACTGGCACGTATAAGGTAAGGTACCAGATGGTAGACCGGAGATCGAAGACACAAGTGACCCTTGGGAATTTGTAGTTAACATTTTTCTGTGTCTGGCATGAACTGAAATCTAGCTGGTACATCAGAAAACTTGTTCATGGAAGCATAATTAAAATGACTGCTTTTATTTGCATGCCAAATTATACAAAATACATAACATAACTGATTATCTTGCAGAATTGTAGTGACTAACTGATATTTTAGGTACTGGGAGGGATGATAATATGCACTTTCCATTGAAGAAAATTCTTGAGGCTCTCCATTAAAAATACCTTGTCTTTAATCTTAGAAAGGTGTCATCAATGAAAGTGGGGTTTGTTTCACTAGTAGCATAGGTAGCTCAGCTGAATTCAAACTGGCATAGCTGTGTTATCATACGTGCTGCAGACAAAACAAGACTGAAAGCCAGCGCAGTTTATGAAACACCATTGTATAATGTTGTGCAGTGTTTTTCAGATAGATTTACTTCAGTTTTTCATGTGCAATATATGGTTTAAATTATGAAATGCCACAGACTGTGAAACTTGTGCACTGAAAATTAGTGCTGTGTGTTATTAAAAACTGATATCCACTTGTTTTACCTGAGTCCAAGAGTCTGCGTGAGGAAACAAGTAAATGGTTATCAACCATGTGAAGTCCTTGATAGAAATTTTTGCACTTGTGAGGAACCAGTAACAGGCCAGTCCTAGCTTTTGAAATCGTCATTGGTTTGTGTTTGTTTCATGGTTTTGTGACACTCTGAATCCACATAGGTCTCTCCAAAAGTAATGCCCCCTATTTATTTCCATGGGAACAAGAATAGATGTGAAAAGCACAATAACACTATTTGATAGAGCAAACTATGGTCTGTAAGACACGATTATCACGGATACCACCATTAGCTGTGCATTTTCATGAGCAATGAACAAGAGCCTGCATGCTGTGCTCGTAAAAATGAGCATCAGTGGAGGTGACCTGCTGTCACCACTGCTAGAATGCACCACCCACTGCCTCACTGTGCTCACATCCACTGTTTGGTCTCCATCAATGTTCAGCAAATGGTGATGAATGTCAGTCGGTGTTTTTTTTTCCTCGTGGACAAATTCAGTGACACACCTTTGCTTCATCCACACCTCCATGTCAGACACCATTCTGTCAGGCTGCCCCTCTGCTGCCATCTGTCACACTACAACAAACTATAATGGGGTATTGGTGGGAAGTCTTGACCTCTACTGCTGTGCCACCAACATCCACCTCATCCACCAACATTGTGGGCCAGCATAATAAAACAGGAAGCGTTACTTTTGGAGAAGCTCTCACCGTAGAGAGAATGTTAATGTGTTGTTTTGAGCTCTCAAACTTCTGTCTTATGACTTGGTTTGTCTTTTGACCTCAGTATCCTTATTCTAATTTGTGCACTGTATAACAGAGAAGATACTGTAGATATATGGGGGATCAAAGATCTGTCTTCCAATTCTCACCTTCAGAAATGGTGTAGCATCATCACACAGATCGGGCAGTACAACTTTACCTTTTTTATTATCCAATTCACTAGTTTTAAATTAATTTTCAGAGCTAAATGCTTTAATGCTAGAATATTCTGCTCACTTAATAAAGCTGTATCAGGATTTGTATGTCCCACTTAGTCATACTTTTTGCTTTGGGATGTATTTCTTATTTTGGGTGTTTTTACCTTTGTAATGTAAAGCTGTTTCTGTTCTTTATTACGTTTACTGGTACTGGCTCTATCAGCCTTTGTTTAGGGGCTAATTTGTACTGTAACACGGAAGTTTCGCTGAGAAACAAAGCTTGAAGTAACTATTCAAGGTGGTAAACTGTAGATCTAATTTACTCTTTACAAATCTACAGAATTTCTGGATTACTCATGAATTGCATTTGGGAGGGGAAGCAAATAAACCATCAGATTTGTTTCACATGTCCCAGTAAAATTGGTCTAAGAAAATGTTTGTAAATGTGGGATGCTGTTACTTGAGGAAATGAATACAGGCCAGATGATTCCATCAAAGCTGTACTTGCATTTATGCTTACAGTCAACAGAATTCTGCATTCCTCTCAAATTACAAATAAGAGAGACTGACAAAAAATTGTTGGCATTGTTAATGTTGTTATAGCATTTATTGAATTGCTTTTATGATGGCTGTATGCTGCTTTTGCTTAGTTTAACATCCTTAAATTGGGATTATCTAAAATGAGTCAAATGAACTTTATTTGGCACAAATGATTTCAAAATATTTCAAAGTTACTTTAGACTTTTCTTCTAATGCATTGTAAGCTTTTACTTAAAATAACAAGATGCCCCAACTGTGTTAGGCGTAGCTTAATGTGTTCCAGCTGCACAGAAAATCTGCTGTCTGCTTTTACAGGTTCGATTTGTGAAGAACGTGACTTCCTGGAAGGAAATGAAACCAGGATTTTACCATGGACATGTATCTTATTTGGACTTTGCAAAGTATGTTACCACTAATTTATCTGTAGCGCAGCCGTTTGGCTCCATCTGGGATATTGCTGCCCTCTAGCGATGGAAATCTGACAAGTGCTAGATTTCCTAGGAAGAGCAATAGTTAGTTGGGATTTTCACAGGCGGCTCGTCTTTCTCATGTGCCCTGTGAGCTTACCAGTTCATTTCATCAAGCTTCTGCTTTGTGCCACAGTAAATAAAAATTTGCATAGGAAGATATCGGAGAAAAAAAAGAAATATCTTTGATAGAGAAATCAGTATGATTACAGACGTTGCCTTAAGCTCATATTTAATGAGCAGAGCCATACAGAATCAGCCCTGGTAATGGGTGGGCTCAGAGTTGTCTCTCTGCTGCGAGAGTTCACATCTTTTCCAGCTGGAGCCCGGCCAGGAGGGCCCTTCCTCACTGCAGAGTGTGGGGTTGGCAGGGCAGCAGCAGGAATTCGGTACCGAATGCCTATTTATTATTAACAAATATATAGCTGCTAGATTCATGGAGGCGTTTCTAGAGTCAGGATAGTTGTGCAAATGCTTGGTATCTGTTCTGCAAGAATATTTCAATTTTGTTTCATTAAATAAATTTAGAAAGGATCACTGAGAACTGAAATTGAACTGACTTTCACATCCACGTTCCTGCACTGGGGGGTGGGAGGAATGAGCATTAACCTTCCTCTCACCAGCATCTGCTCTGTAGATAGATTTCTGTTGTGTTATAGAGGCTGACTCCTAAGTATTTGACAAGAAGCTTTGATTTCACCTTTAAAAGACTTTTTTCCCCCCCCTCTTTTACTTTAGATTTGGTGTTAAAAAGAAACCAATTTACATAAACGTCATAAGAGATCCCATAGAACGACTGGTTTCTTACTATTACTTTCTGCGCTTTGGAGACGATTACAGACCAGGGCTACGAAGGAGAAAGCAGGGGGATAAGAAGGTAAAGTACACTTGTTGTGCACGGTGTTCTGACCCAGGACAACAAAAAGCGAGGTACGAAATGCGTGCTGATCCGGTACCGCCGCTGCCCGGTACCGCCGCTGCCCGGTACCGCCGCTG